TATCGACAGTGATAATAATAATAAAATAATCTAAAATCAATCATCGAGTCATGAAATTAAAATAAATAAATAAAAAATTTAAAAAAATAGCATTTTTTTACATTATTATTTCTCTAATTCTAATTCATTTTTTTCTCCTTTATCCTCTCTACCCCCCCAAACGACAACGTCATTTCCGTTCTATACGAAAAACCAAAAGAAAAGAATAAAAAACGAAAAGAAAAAATCGTATTTACCAAGTATTGTGCGCTGCGAAAATCATTTCAACCGAATTTTTTTTTTTTTTTCTATTTTCTTCTTCCTTTTCCTTTTGGTTTCTTCTTTTTCCACCTCCTCCTCCTCCTCCTCCTTCTTCTTTTTTCTTCTTTCCAATCAATACTTTTTTGTCTCGCGTTCGTAAACACGGATTGAAGGACGATTGAATCTTCGTGTATGAGAGAAGGTTCTTCGTTGTATATTTGAGCATTTTTACACATTTGAGTAAAATCCTTTTCCAAATCGTCAAAATCCGAATACTGAAACAACAATGACAAGAGTCAGAATGAAACTTTTCCCCCCTTTTTTTCCATTTCCCTCCACCTCCTCCCCCCAGCTTACTTTTCCATCTTCTATCCTGTTAAATATTTTCTTAGAGGTCATTAGGTCAATGATTGATTATCTTTCTTTCCGCTTCTAATTTTTGCTGTTTCTCAAGTTTTTCAGTTGCTCTTGCTTCTCTCAAACCTTGATGTTATGCCGATGATATGCCGATCATAATCAATGAGGGCCTTTATTTGCTCATCATTAACCTCCAATGGACGCCCGGAGCACTCCTCATTTTTCAAAGGAAAATTTCCAGAACGGAATTTCGCAAACCAGTTTTGACACTGCCGTTCTATTGAGGCTTCATCCCCCTACACGGCCCACAACTTTTTATTGGCTTGTGAAGCATTAACACCCTTTCAGAAATAAAAAAGCAAAATGTGGAGGAAATGCTCGCTTTGGCTACCCATGTTTAAATGTCTTTTGCTCGCGCACTATTTTGTACATAAACGTAAACGTACTCAAAAAAATGAACAAACTATCTGTTAGTAAAATGCGCACTTCCTTACTGGCCAACCCAATAATTTACATAAAAAAAATTATTTAACGAAAATATCCATGCATTGGCTACGTTAAAAGCTTCCATATTTTTATAAGTTCCA